GCTTCCTGGCTCATCTGTGTTCAGGATGGCTGAAGTGGATAATCAAACAATGGTTAAGGCCGGTGTTACTACAGGCATGACCTAGAAAGAAGGATGCTAAAAGAGGCAGATGGCACAATAAGGGGTGACTAATAATCCTGCATTATCAGTCCCAGCACCTTCCCGGCAGGAAGAGAGAGACTTCACCTATAAGCAAGTCAGCAGATTTGATGTTTCTTTTATCCTTCCTATACAGACAGAAGTAAGCGAAAAAAGAAAAATATTAACACCAGAAACTGCAACCAAGTTTCTTCTGTTGGCCCTGAGATGAGTTACGGTTCACGAACCTCTAACCACCCATCTCCATGGGCCATTCTAGAGGAAGCTTATCACGATCGGGTAGTCACAAGGCACAGCCCCCAGGACTGACTCACCTGGATGATGTCCAAGGCCAGGTCAGACCAATACAAGCAGTTGCGTTCATAGTCGAAGTCCAGGGCCACTGCTGCCCGCAGCCCGCTGAGAGGCAGCTGCTCGGTGGCTCCCGAGGCCAGGTCGTAGCGGTGGATGGACTTGCGCATGGCGTACAGAATGAACTCATTCTCCTCTGCGGACACACAAGACCGCCGGAGTTGGATCCAGGGCACACTGACGAGGTCCTGGTACATCTGACCTAATTTTTTTGTCTGACACGCAGACCTCAAACCCACATGCAAGTAGAGAAGACCAAGGGAAAGAGTGGAGGGGTCAAGACCCAGAAGCATGAGATGGATTCACATTCCTGCCTTGGGCAAGTTACTGAACTGCCTGGGGATCTGTTTCCTCATCTGTGTTTTATTTGCTGCATTTATTTTTTAATCTAAATCTCCTAAAACACATGCTTCAACACCCACACGTGTGAGCTCAGCTTGAAAGCCTTGGGAGTCACACTGGCCAACCTCATTGGACCAATCACCACATTCTCCCTTGCCCTATGACTAGATCGGGCAGCACCACAATCCTGTGGACCAGCACTGACTGCCACACAAGAAAAAATTTTTTTTCCTTCAGGTCACAGTGTTTATCAGTTCAAAAGACTTGTGAATAATACTTGCCACATGAGACCCCGGGCTCAAAAGGAGCCCGTAACTACTAACTAAGCTTTCTAATCCATTCATTCGTGTGTTTGTGTTTTGTTCACAGTGCCATATGGCAATTATATCAACCTATTAGATTTTCAAAACAATAATAACACACTTGTTCTTGACTGTTTACAAAATGTTTCACAATCATCATAAAGATTCTGTTTCCACTTAACAAATGCTTACACCGCGTACTCTCTACCAGGCATTATTTAATCCTCATTACAACTGTCTGGTGGGGAAACGATCATTAACACAATGTTATAAATAAGGAAACTGAGGCCAGAGAGATCTCGCCGACAGTCACATAACCAGCAGAGATCCAGAGTCTCTGGTATAATCCCTACACTGGGCTGCCTCTTATGATAAAGATGGGAACGCTGCCATTTTTTAAGATTTAGAAACACAGGCCCTGAGCGCTTATGAGACTCATCTAATGTCAGACAACCAGTAACAGGAAAACCCACGCTGTGCTCTCTCTTTTCCACTCCAGGGAAAAGCCTGGAGAACATCCAGACTCTCCCCCAGCAATGGAGATGAGAAGCACATCGACCTTCCTATCTGCTATCCATTCTGACAGCATATTACATACAGGACACTACCTGGATCACTGGCCCCCCACTCCCAACCCCGCTCCGTCCCCTCAGTGAGTTATCATGTACGAGCCACCTTCTTTACAAAGCCTTCCCTATAGATAATGCAGCAAAAGATAAATCCATCTAAGATTTTTAATAGGGTTTCAGTTTGCCTTCTTTTCCTTTGGTTCATTTCACTTCAAACCACATGCTACCCTCTCCTTTTTGCTATCCAGAAAATCTTGCCACTGCAATTCCCAGGGAGGGGCCCCTCTAGATGCAGGGCGTGTGACAGTCACTTGCCAGCAGCGTGCCCTTTGCCCCACATCTCTCTCCAGCATCTATAAACCTCATTCTGCTACTTTGGGTTTTTTTCCTTCTAAGAAACTAATGCCCTTACAGTAGAACCTGGGTCCAAAAATATTTGCTTTAGGATTAGGCTCCAGGCAGAAGGCAGTGTTTCAGCATGCAAAGCTTAACCCAGAAAAAGCTGATCCTAGCTGCCTCTGAGCACAGCCTAGAAATGTGTGTTATTTCAGTAATCAACAAAAAAATTACTGCATTTTAAAAATCTTTCCAGATGCCCAGATTACCACATCTTTGCAAAGATGTGATGGTTCTCATTAGTCCTATGAAACCACCTTTTTCTTACCAGGTACATCCCTGCCTTCTACTTCATAATTTTTTTTCTCTTTTATATTTAGGCGGTAACCTACAATGAAATGAAATTTTCCACTTCATTCCCTGTTCTATCCTCTCCTATTAGAAGAGAAAATAGCTTTCCTGCCAGTTTAGATGACTTTAAACAAACTGTCCTGTCCCTCACTGAATTAGCTTCAGAAATATTTATTACAAAAGTATGTGCTCCAGCCCCTTAAGAGCAATCACTCAAGCCCTGCTAACTCAAGCCCTCATCAGTAACAGCTCTTGTGAGGGAAATATTTGAATATTATCTGCTCATTCGTAGGAAGCTGCTGAAGTGGTGGTTCTTTCTAAGTCTCCACAGTGAGGTAGGTTAATTACTGTGGTAATGATAGAAGATTAAATTAAGGGACTAATGAGCTTAGCATGAAAAACACCAGGGCACGCTGTCAGCAGTGAGAGAAGAGAGGGCCGCCCTGCCCTGCCGGTGGAGACGCCGCACTTCTCCTGTGATCCGTGGCGCTTACAGCCATCCCATTGGACAATCCCACCAGCGCCGATGAAGTCAGCCCCAGTCTTCTGCCTTCACCAAGAGGTATGAGCAGGATGGACTCACAGGGAATAAAGAAGTTCTCAAATGCGTAAGAACCAGAAACAGAGGGAAGAAAGAAAACAGGCCAGGAGATAACCTATTTTTTAAAGTATCCAAAGTTCATGCCTAGATTACAAACACTCCCAACACATTACATCAAACCCTAAATCAACTTAAGATGTGTTTTAGGGCATGCTACACCTCTAGAGCACGTGTAATCACTCCAATGAGTTTTCCTTAATTACCATCCGTAATGATTGTCTGAAATAATGAGAATGGCACTTATTTACAATGTTCAGGGACAAGTGTGAGGCTGAGAGTCTGAATTTTAACTGTCACTCGCTAGATGTGTGACCTAAAATTAAAGAAACCTCTCCCCTGAAAATGCTTCCTCCCCATGTTTAAAAAAAAAAAAAATTGATCATATCTATTCCACTGAGTTTTTGAAAGGATTAAATTAGCAAACCGTGAAAAAGTACACTAAAGTCTACAAAACTCCATTAAAATATTAGTTAATATTAGTAGTATTATACAATTAAGACAGACCACTTAACTACTTCCCGAGAAGAAGTGCATCTCTTTATAGTCAACTCGGACAAACAGATTAAGGGACACACAAAAGCTTATGGGGACCCCTGCATCCCCCACAGATGCCAGTATTTGCAATGAACAAAGGGATTTCCCTGGAAACACTGAGCTGACATAAAATATTTTCCATTCCTGCAAAGGAATAAGCTTACATATAACTTTAGTTTGGATGCCCAGCTCAGGGGAAAAGGAAACTTGGTCATGCTTCTTCCAAGTGCCATTATTTTTCACCACTAAATTAAGAGGAGCCCCCAGCCTGGCTGTGGATGGGATCGTGATACTGCTTCAGGGATGGCTCAAAGGGGAGAAACCACTCCTCTTACCTGCCAGCGGACAGGGCACCAGCTCTCCTTCCAGCCGTGCCTCAACGTCTCCTCCGCTACAAGTGTCCCCGGAAATCTTCCGGTAGCTGTCACCCCCCACCCCAAGAGCAAGAGGTCAGAACAGCTAAGAATAGTCACGAAGGCATCTCAGCTGGGGCCTACAGCTGCCCACAGACAGCACATTCCACTATTCACTTCCCCACCCAACTAGGAGGACGATACTTAGTCTTTCTGGACTCCTAATTAAACGAGGCAGGCCCAAACAATTTAGGGCGTGGTTTTTAAATATTAATGTATCCCTTTAATAAGCTCTGACCATTCCTCCCTTGCTACAGGTGCTGACTTAAGAAGCTCCCAGAGTTGCAAAGATACTTTACAGACTTGTGATTTTTTTCTCACTGGAGGAGAGGGGTTTGCAGACATAATTTTAAACGTTGCCCACACTACTTGCGACCTGATAGTTTGGAAATCTAGAATTTAGAGTATAAAAGAGAAGAAAGAAAGTGGCAGTCCTCTATGCTCTCCCCAAACGTAGATCCCTTGCGACCCTGACGTGCAACTTTCGTGATACATACCCTCTGGTTCTCCTGTAAGTAGAGCCTACAGGACAAGGCACGGGAGGGGAGTATGACTTCCCAGAGAACTCTGGATCTGGAACACAAACCTCTAATGACAAATCTTCACTCATCTTGAAACCGAAGTCACTAAAAAGGCAATTGGGGTTTGTCAAGGCCATTGCTTTATACACTTCAGGGATTTCAGTACCTACCCTTCTACCATAGGACCTTTCACTTTTATTATAAGTTATTGAACATGTCCTAACTTTAAATACATTTTTGTATTATAAGAACACGTCTGTAAAAGAAGCTTTAGATCAGAACCACAACTGGAAAACCACAGCCATATGCCATAAATAGACAAGAACAACACACATCATCATGCCAAATCAAAATAATATTAAATTTTAGCTAGATCAGTTCCCTACTCAAAGACTCTGGGCCTGCCCTCTCTTCCTGAAAAGGGATTCACAAATGTTACAGAACTACTGGTACCCAGTGAGACTTTCTTCTTGACATAATCAGAAGAGTTAGAAATTTTAAAATATTTTTAAAAATTATTTCGGCTAAGAATTCGATGTTATTTAACACAATGTCATCCATGGCTAGGCATGGTGGCTCATGCCTGTAATTCTAGCACTTTAGGAGGCTGAGGTAGGAGAACTCCTAGAGGCTAGGAGTTGAAGACTAGCCTAGGCAAGGGCAGATCCCATCTCTATAAAATATAAGAAAATTAGCTGGGGGTGGTGGTAGCCACCTGCAGTCCTAGCCTACTCAGGAGGCTAAAGCAGGAGGATCACTTGAGCCCAGAAATTTGGGGTATGATGATGATACTACTGTACTCCAGCCTGGGTGACAAAGAGACCCTCTGTCTTTGAAGAAGAAAAAAAAAAAAAAAAAGACCAAGTCCACATACTACCTAAAATCACCTTGGGTCCCTCATCCTGCACTTGAGATGCAATAGTTTGGTTCATGAGACCTCCTGTGGTTTAGGGGTCACATCTGCCATGTCTCCCAGCTTGATGGAGACGCACCGGAGCGGGAAGGAGGAGCCCTCAGTGGAATCTTGGCTACGCCTTCAACTATACAGCTTCGCTAGGACACCCCTGACAACTTGAAAATGAGGCAGCTGTACGCTGTCCCTTCCGAGGTCCTGCCCAAGCTACAAATTCTATAACTCAAACAGATAGTCCACGTTGTGTGTCCTACCAGAAAAGCTTCCTTACTGTATTCAATCCAATATTTAGTAAATATATCCTATGTGAAAAGTATTAACAGATACACAGCAATCATAATTCATATTTAGCAATTTGTAGGGAATTGTTCAAAAGGCAGCATTTTTACAAAGCTTTTACACCAAATAGGTCTCATTCATTAAATCACTTCATTTTTACTGAACAGCCACTTTAAACCTTTTTTAGCAGCTAGGTGAAGCTTTATTTAGCTCATTACTTTTTTGCAAAGCATCCCTCTTGGGCAGCCTCATTTGACTGTAGGTCACAACCTAGTGGTTTGAGTAAGTCCAAGACCAGCTTCCTTCCCTCCCCAAAAAGAAATAGGCAATACATATTTAAAAGTAAATGTTGTCCCCTAAATCTCTGGTTTTAACTATATGTGTTTAAGTATCTGCATATACATAAATGTCTAGATATAAGATTGTAATAGAAAATCTATTGCTTACTACGGGTTGTAGTTAAGAACTTGAAAAGCCATGTGACTTGGCAATGTGGTGAAATATAAACACGTAAAAGAAATTACTCCTGGGCAGCGCCTGTGGCTCAAAGGAGTACAGCGCTGACCCCATATGCCAGAGGTGGTGGGTTCAAACCCAGCCACAGCCAAAAACTGAAAGAAAAAGAAATTACTCCTGAAATCAGGGAGCATATGGGCCAATAAGAGGGCTCCGCAGTGTGATACCAAAGGACTATCAGAAATAATCTGGTGTTCAAATACATTTGTCAGTCAGAACTTGAACTAACAAAGACTGAAAGCTCACGTCTCTTCTTCCGTTATCCATCTTAGGACCATTCCCCCCCTCGCTGCTCCAGTCCAATCCCATTCAACCTTCCAAGAGCCACATAGGCAGGCCTGCTATTCTAGTGGCAAACAGCAAGAGGAACAGGGGAGGGCCTGAAACCAACACCCCCTTTACCATTCTCACAGGGTGATCACCCCCATGATCTCATTGGGTCTGCATCCCAGTTCCATGAGGGGCAGAACAGGTGGCCCCTCTGACTGGCCCCTAAGAACACAGCAGGAAAAAGCATCTGGCAGGTTCCAGGACGGCAGATGGGCAGGCATGGCAGACTCACAGGAGTAAGGCCAGGTAACCCAGGAAAGCAAATTGATTTGATTTGGGGGCAGGAAGTGCAAAAGAAGAAGGAAAGATTTAGAAGATTTTAATAGTTATTTTTTTAAGTCTAAAACTGGTCATTAAGGCAACACACCAAAGATTTGCTGAATTTTCTTATGTATTTCTTATTTACTCTTAATTTTATTTTGAAGGACTTATTAGGGATAGAAAGAGGGGGGAGAGAAGGCACTACGATCTCTTCAGGGACGGGGGCCTTCCCAGGTTCAGTCCAGTCCAGGGGGAGCAACCTGAGGGTAACAAAGCTCTCAGATTAGATTATAATTCAGGGGCTCTAAGGAAGAGCAGAAGGCACCAAAGACGCCCTTGGGAACAACCTCAAAACAACTCTGTGCTTTTGCCACTGAAGGGTCTGTGTTGCTCCTTTCACAGGGAGTGGCATGTCTGGCTGCTACGGTATCTACATCTTGCTGCTGGAGGGTGACCAGGCACTAAGGAACATCTACATGGCCTGGGCGTCTGCCTGGTGGAACTGCAGACCCCTAAACTCCTGAGGCAGAATCTGCTTTTTAACAAGACCCTGGGTGATTCGCGTGTATACAAAAATTTCACAAATGCTAGTCTAGAACAGGAGCAGTCAAATGCGGTTGGCTTTGGCTATTTTTGTAAATAGATTTTTACTGGCTCACAGCCACACCAGTTCATCTATAGCTGCCTTCATTCACCTATGGGCAGAATTGAGCAGTTGGAACAGAGTCCATGAAAACATATGGCCTTTGGAGCTGAGATAGTCACTACAGGGCCCTACTCCAACCTCTGAACTAGAACACAGCAGGGGTTTCTGGCTTTATTCACAGTAAGTCTGGCTGCCTAAAGCAAAATGCAGTTAGTTCCCTTGTGCCGCAGCAATCACTGGAATACAAGTTATGTGTTTATGGTCAATGCCTGGGCTCTGTTAAAGCCCCTGACTAAACTCCAGCTATTTCATGTTCACTTACATGCTCTACAGACCATTCAGGAGCTCTGAGTTCCTATGCACCCTACTGCTGGAATCATCTTCCTATAGCTCAGCTCTATTCAGATCACCACCTCTGCCTAACAGCCTCCAAAGACCTCCTGCTTATAGGGTAAGGTCCATCCCCTTCAGGGTTTCTACCCCTATCATAGTCCACCTTTTCAGTTTCATCTCTAATCACTGCCCTGCTTCACACAACCAACAAGGCACTCAAATTAAACTACCAACCACTCTCTACTGCCTCCATACTTACCCGCTGCTGCTACATGGTCTTAGAATGAATGCGTCTGTGCTCATCTCCAAATGCTCCCTTACAGCCCATCTCAGAAACAGTACTATTCCCCAAAATGTCATGGTTCCCCAGGAGCAAATCACAGCCCTCACCTTTCCTTGCCATAATCACAAGAGCACCAATTTCTCCTGCTGCCCTCCACCCCCTGTCCCAATAACCTGTACACGAGTCACATCACCTGCTTTTAACATTCTCAGCGTGCCTTGAATATGTTGCTCAAGGAATAATTAATGATGTGTATATATACACATAGAAAACATCCCCTCATTTCAAACAAAGAAATAAACCCCCTCCAGGGCAAGGGTCCTAAGGAAAAGGATTTGCCTATAATAGAACCTTCCACACCTTCCCCTTTTGGGTTACCCAATCCCAGAGTTATCCACTCCAGAGTAGAGCTTCCCTGGATCATAACACCTCTATCAGATCACATGGCTGTAAGAACTAGAGAGAACTCATGAAAAAAGTGCCTCCCAGAGGCCTTGTGTGGCCGGGACAGTTATTAAAGACTTGTTTCCTCCCTTCCCTTGCCCAGGGGAAGGGACCCTGGCCTAGTCCATCTCCTCCAAACCACTCAGTGAATGAAACACAACTCAATTCCCCAGCCATCAAAGCAAAACTAACCATTCATAGTCCTCCCGGGTGCAGGAGCAGTTGGACACAATGACTGGCCTGTCGAAGTCTTCTCCGTTGAAGCACGTCGCGTGGGGGGTCCTCCGTTTGAAAACAGTCTTGTGTCCCAGCAAGCACTCATTTCCCCGCTCATCAGATGGGGACCACAGCTTGTAGTCGTTCTCTGTGCAGGGGACCCCTGGGGATAAGAAACAGCAGGAAGCATCAGAGGCAGGCCCACGTGGGGCTTCCTGTTGGCCCCGTCCTCTACTTCCTAACCATCTTCCTGCTGCCCCACAAGCACACAGACCTCAGGAGCCGCCCCGAGCCTCTAACTGGCTTGCTCTGAAGCTAGGGGGCACCCACACAAGCAATAATGATACCACCTGAAATGCAAACACTCATCTGAGAAAGTCGGGAAGAGGTAAGTCACTGTGACACTATTCAAACTTCTGAAATATTTCAGGAGAGTCAGCAGCTCTGTTTAGAAACAGCTAATCAGAGGGATTTCTCTCCTAGGGAGCTAGGGAAAGGCTGAACCCATGCTGCGTGCTATCACCCAGGAGCATTGCTCCCCACCTGCTCCCTTGGGCAGTGTGGGCACATCTGGGAGTATGGCCCAAGAGCAAAAAGAGTTCACTTGCCTGCCTCGGAGATACAGGGTCCTCATGGAAAGAGGCTAAGAAACGGCAGGACACTGGCACTGTTACTTTAACTGCCCACATTCATTCAAAACGTAAGTAGAATGTGCTCTCCACAGGAATTCCGAAGTAGGACTATGTTTATATCAATACTTTATGTCTTCAATCAGATTAAACACTACCCAAAGATGACACGCAACTGTCCATTCAATGCCAGGCATGTATGTATGTCAGCAAACTTCTTAAACGTATTAAATCCCGAATGACTGTAAAGCTATCAGCCCATCCAGCAGGTGGAGTACTACACAGAATAAACTCCTGTTTGTAAGTGGGGTAAAATCCAGTGGATGGAAGACGACACCCACAGAGGAACAGAAACAAATTTATAATTCAAGGCATGATGAGTAGGCCAATGTGCTGGGCAGAGAGAAGAGGGGGGATATCTTCAGGGGACTCTGAAATATGAAAAGGATTTCAAATAGCAGAGACTGCATGGGTGAGGTTCAGAAGGAATAGGGGGTATTCTGGGCAGCTGGAATAATGTGAATTAGATGAGCAGCAGGAAAGGGCAGAATTAGATGAGCAGCAGGAAAGGGCAGGAGAACTTGGGGAGGGAGAGGGAAGACGCTGAAGAATTTCCCTTTTCCTCGCTCACTTACACATCCCGTGTCTAGACTAGCAGGTCATAACCAGATCCTGGATGGCTTTGCGAGGACCCTGCAATCACTTGGCATGTTGACATCCAGGCAGCAAGGCATCCCCACTGATTACGCCCACTTGGACTGGTGATATGGAAAAACATCTTTCATTCATTCATTCATCCACCCCTCCACACATTCAACAAACATAGACTTAAAAGGACTAGGTGCCAGGAACTGCATAAGGAAACTAAAAAACAAAGAAAAACACACAGTCTGCTAAAAAAGAACTGAGCAGATCCTCACTTATCTCCTTGTGAGTTTCACTAACTAGTGTGTGCCCACCTCCCCCAGGGAATCAAGCACCTTTCTCAGCTCGCACTTTACACCCAACAGGTGGCCAGTAAATGTCTGTGTGAAAAAGGCCAAGGAGGCAGCAGCTTACCCAAGGCATCCGTGGCATTGACCTGGAGGATCAACCAGCTGTGGACATTCTCTTTGTTTGAGCCAAAGATGGTGAAGACGGTGCTCTTCTCCCCAGGTTCAGTGAGGAGGCCGTACACAAACAATGGCTTCTCAGAGAAGATGAACGATTTCCAGGTCTCCCCTTCGTTGGTACTGTATCTACCAAAATGCAAGTAGAGCAACCCTTGCTGTTAATAACTCTAAGGCGAGGGCCGGATGTCCAATTAACATTCACCATGAATAGGAACCAGGGCTCCTTGGAGAAATGGCTAATCCTGGGCTAAAGGAGACAAAGTTTAAGGTTGTGCCAGAAAGCAAAGAAGAGTTCAGAGACTAAGGCAGTCATCTCAAAACGACACAAGAACCAGCTTTATGGGGCTTCACTTGCCCAAATCTAAGAAAGTTTAAAAAGAAAAACAATGGTAACAGACACATATATATATATATATGGGGCAAGGGTCTCTAATGATACTAAAAGAGAAAGAAGCAAAGGAGGGAAGTATGTTTCTCATATTAGAATGCCACCTCGTAAAGGTAGAAAATAAAAGAATGAGGAGAAACTTACCATTCTGTAAATCCCAGTGCAATAACCAAATCAGACAAGGGCTATCACTGCATGCTAAAACCACTGGGTGAAAGTGTTGGGGGCTAGTGATCTAAAGACATCAACCCACAGAAAAATCATTCACTACAAAGAAGGAAATGTAACTTCATAGCAGACGATCCGGGAGTCACAGACTTAACCAAACTTAGCATTACTGACAGTGGGACAAGCTGACACTATGTTCCTCCTGAATAAAGGATTGAGAATAATACATCGTTGATGGACTACTCTACACAATCAGATAGATCCAAAATGTGGGACGTTCTACGTGACACCTGCTCTGGATTCTTCGAAAGTATCAAGGCCATGAAAAACAAAGAAATAAAAAAAGCAGAGAGCTTGTTAACAGATTAAAAGAGACTAAAGAAGTAGAACACCCTATGTAACGAGTAAGCAAACTTGCAATGTGTAATCAAATTCCGGATGCAGTTCGGGAAGATTAAACGGGACAACTGAGAAATTATGAGTAAGTCATACTGAGTTTATGTTGATTTTCTTAGATGTGAGAATAGCATTGTGATTTTGTAGGAAAATGCTCTGATTTATTGGAATACAGGCTTAAGTAACAATGAAGAAACATAATGCCTGCAACTTTGTTTCAAATGATTCAGCCAAAAAAGGATAAATAGGATGGATATATAGATAGGTAAACAGACTGACTGAAGAAAAGTAAGCCCAGGTATAGTGGTTCACACCTACAGTCCTCTAGGAGACCCAGGAGGGAGGACTGCTTGAGCTCAGAAGTTCAAGACTAGCCTAAGCAAAAGCAAGACCCCTTTCCCACTAAAAAAATAAAAAATTAGCCAGCACAGTGGAATATGCTGTAGTCTCAACTACTTGGGAGGTTGAGGGAGGAGGATCACATGAGTCTAGGAGTTGGAGGTTGCAGTGAGCTATGATGACAACATTGGACTCTAGCTGGGGCAATGGAGTAAGACTTTGTCTGAAAACAAACAAACAAACAAAAGAAGTAAACTGGCAGAGAACAGATATTGACAACTGGTGACCCAGGTAAAGGGTACCACTATGTAAAGGGTGTTTAGTAGTCTTTCCAAATTTTCTGTGGTTTTAAAAACAAAAATGTAAAAAGATGGAGACAAAGTCTATCCTGGGAAAAGTCTCCAAGACAGACTACATCAGAACAAGGAAGCAAAGCTTTAAAAGAATAAGCAGCATTTCAGTAATTGTACTAATTTTAGATTATCTTTTGTATTGAAGAAGGGGGAGGCATCTGCCTGATCCTTGCTTCATCGCCCAGTGAGCTGGCAAGGTGGGAAACCACACACTTAGAACGTTCTTTAGAATCACAGAGCTATTGGGTCTCTCTTAAATCCTAATCACAGACATGACATTTTCCTCCACCTTTCTCAGGTTTTTGAGTTTTTAGTTTCACTCCCTCAGGATGCTAACATCAACCATTTTTCATGATATCGTTCAATCCAAACACTTCTTCTCAAACTGAGATTACTAAAATTGATATTTCTATATAAAGGCAAGGTGCTAAGCCAGGGTGAGGTTACAGGGCAGCACAACGAACGTCAATGGGAGACCAAGTGATCTCTTCTACAGATCTTTTAAAAGAGGAGTAATTCTTATCCTGCCAACATGCATTCTGTTTAAACAAATTTCGAAGCAGATTCTTGGATAACTCATTCAGATTTCTCCCTTATACCAGTGTGATGAGCTAATAAAGACTTAGTATCACTTTCAAAACAAACGAGTTGGCCTATTACACAGACTCCAATGGCAGCTACCTGCCCATCCTGTGATAATGTTGGAAGTCCATCTATTCGTACATTGCCAAGGTAATTCTATTTAAGACCACCTTGAACCCAAGATAATCTTAGGAAATGAGTCATCCCATTTCTTGAGAGGTTCCCTGAGGATTCTGACAATCACTCATTAATGGAACTAACAGGCATGTACACGACCAAGCATAGTCTTGAGAAGAAACTGCTCATTTAGAACATGAAGCCTTTGCAGAATTTGGTGGGAAGGGCAGTTGCATTATCAATTGCAACAAGTAAGGGAATGTCTACATATTTGGACTGAATGTTGACCCTAAGAGAGAATTCATGTTGATGAAGTGAAAGTGGTGAGAACCTTGTCAGGACACAAACCACTGGGCATAGCAAGACAGTGAGATCCCCACCTCACAAAAAAAAGAAAAGTTATCCAGGCATAGTGGCATGCAACTGTAGTCCCAGCTACTCAGGACACTGTGGCAAAAGGATCACTTGAGCCCCCAACACTTTCACCCAGTGTTTTTAGCATACAGTGTTGTCACTCCAGCCTGGGTAACAAAGTGAAACCCTGCCCTCCCCCAAAAAAGAGAGAGAGAGAGAGAGAAAGAAAGGGAAAAAAGAAAGAAAAGAAAAAGAGAAGAGAGGAGAGAAAGAAAGAGAGAGAAAAGGAAAAGAAAGGAAAAGAAAAGAAACCAAATCATGTTTGTGAAAGAGGATATAGGGCTTCAGCCTTTAGAAATAGAGAATTCAAACTGTTCAGATAAAGATATAGACATAATCTCATGGCCCAAAACTCTCAAAAGGATAGGAAGATCAGATAATATAATATGTAGGCCACTATGAAAGATTCGAGACAGGCTGTATTATGCCCATTGTTTTGTTTCCGAGAAACACGTCAACGGTGTCCTTTCTAACTCGCCCATACAAGTTTCAACCTGCTCAGCTGATCAGTGTTACTGGGAGGACTTCATTTGTTTCCATCTCCATGGATTTTACATTTCTTGATTTTTGTGTATGTCAAAACTTTTATAATGGCCCAAGTAATATAATAAACCAGATACATTTAAAGGAAGAAGCCATGGTAATTATCCCACTTATGACTCTTATGTGTAACTACACAGAAAGGCTCTTGACAAGCTTAGGTTTTTAAACATGTTCAAGAGGAGAAAAAAGTCATATAACCAAGGTAAAACAATTAAAGAGCAGTAGTAACTACTATTTAATTCTAACGATACAATTTATAGCTATTTTTATCCTGTTAGCCAGATAACCCAAGTTCAAAATGAATCAAGGATTATGTTTCAAATTACCAAAACAATTGGTAGGTTGTTGGGTTCATTACCTAGTGAGTTCTATAAAGAATCAGAAAGAGAAAGATCATTGGTCTGATAAACAGTGGTATAAATAATAACAGGTACAATTAATTACCTGTACCAAAAAAACCCTATATATTCATTCATTCATTTATTCATGAAAACCAACACCCAGTCCCATCTTCATTAGACTGTAAGACCTTTGAGCTATGGACTATTTCATGTTTCCTGGCTAAATGGAAAAAAGTGAACAAAATAAAGACTTCATTAGCAGAGAATTTTCTAAAAACTATTCCAGTAAAGCTGGGTCTCAAAAAGAGAAACCACACACACACAAAAGAGTTTTTATTTTTCCTTTATCTTTATCAAAAAGAATGATCTTCAAACTGAACAAGACAAAAGAAAAAACATAAGTTAAAGGAAAAGGAGTATAAAATAAATTCTAGGGAACGGAAAGCTTTGAAAGATAGGATGATTACAGAGTGCCTTTTAATAATCTCCGCAAGGATCGTGAAGAACAAAGATCTCAAAGGCTGGAAGAGGAAGAATGGTTTTCTTTCCCCAAAGAAGAAAAGGTGGTTTCAAGTGTGGATTATCAAACAGGTGATTTGAGAGCACTTAGAAGAAAAGGAAGTCAGGCTGGGTCTCATGGAAGAATGGTTTTACGAACAAATCACAACAAACTAATCCCTTTTTTTTTCTCATGATAATTTCTGATTTGAAGAACAGGGTAATGATGTAAGATATTCTTTTTCTCATGATGATTTCTGTGGACCAGAGAGTTAGATAAAATTAACTGCTGCTGCAACAAATCCCGAGGGCGCTGATGTACGGTTTGATCTCAACCCCAAACGAGACCTCTAGTTCCCACAGAGCTCAGCACATCTGCCCAGGATCTGGATGGGGATCTGGAAGGTGTTTCTACCAAATTTATAAAGGGCACAAGGCTAACTGTCCAGATTATATAATAAATGCCAAAAATGGGGTTCAAAGGAAAAGAGTAAGCAAAAATGAGGATAAAAATAAAGCTCGGCGTGGAGCTTCAACTCAGATACAGGACGAGGAACATCTGGTCTTTAATGAGATCCATACAAAAAAAAAAAAAAAGGATCTCTGGGGTTTTTTAGTTAAATTGAACTCAGCCTACTGATACAGGTTATAAGATGAATAAATCTCAAAATTATTCTGCTGAGTAAAAGAAGCCAAATAGGAAAAAACACAAACATGAAGTTCTGGAATAGGCAGAACTAATCTATGATGATAAAAAGGCCGTTTCCTCTATCTGGGGCAGGTGGGCAGGGCTGCATAGCACTGTCCGGGAAGGCGCTCAGGGCATCTTCTGGGGTGACGGGAATGCTCTCCATCTTGACGGGCATCCTTCAGAAGTGATTAAATGGTGTACCCAGATATGAATGTCTCGGTATATACGTGACAAAAAATAGGAGCTACTAGTTTGAGGAGACTATCAAGAAAATACACAGTTGAGGTTTTCATTAA